TGAAACCGATAGGGATGAGGGAAGAGAATGAGCAGCAGGAAATGCATGTTGTACACCACATTCCAGAATCTTTTTTTCAGTAACACTGAGAGAAGTGGCCTAGTTCGCTTAAACAAGAGACAGTATGATCTCCCCCACGTATCCTACAAGATGCTGAATGATAACTTGCACATGATTCCTCCCATTCAATAATAAAGATTTCCTACCTTTTAGGAAGCAAGAATTTTTTTTTTAAATCTTTCAAAAAATTAGCATTTTTACCTCATATTTACACAGCTTGCAAATATAATATATTTGTCTATATTTGTGTTGTGTTTACACATGAAATGCATTTCTGTATTTCTAGTCTCATGTTAGAAAAACATGTGCAAATTACAGAAGGAAATTCTTCATTTACAAACATTAAACACTGGTTGCTCTGGCAAGGCACCAGCACAATTTCTGTACTGTGAGGACAATGGAATTACACACTATAAAATATTAGTTTCAAATGTTGACACTATAAATTAATTTGGTAAGTGACAATATTTCAATATTGTAGGTTTTATGACCATGCTGGAGGATGATAAACATCCTGTGTAAGTGATGAATAGACACGTAACTACAGACACTTAAGAGAGCAGAGAAGAGAGTTCACTCTTTCTGATTCAGGCCTAAAATCTTCTTTTGCTTCTACTTGTTCATATAACATTTAGGAAAGGTAAAGAGTTGGTGGAAAGCATGGTTTATTCATGCACTGAGAGGCAGTGACAAAATGATTTTTCTTCTCTCTCCACAGACATATACTACCAGCTCTGTAGTTAACTAATTAACTTGAGCAGACTGTGTGATGAAGCATGAGCATGTGATTCTCCAATTTGGGAAAGCACTTACTGGGAAAGAATGGATCAAGCAGAGCCCTGAATCCTCCCTTGCACTCAGCCATGGGCGGCAGGGGAGCTTTTAACTTGTTTGGTCACATCTGAACCAGACATCAATTTGTCTCTGTGGTACCATCCTGTCCTCATGCACTGCATCTCCCATTCAGCCTGAGTGCCTCCAGGAGAGCCAGGGAGCCATCACGGAGAGAGAGGATGTCATCTTGGACAGGAAGAAAGCACAGGTGGGAAAGCCCCAGCTCTGCTGCTGCTCACGGCCAAGTGCTCAGACAAAGTGTGAGGCTGGTTCTGCTCAGCAGGAGCAGGCAGACGTCTCCAGCAGTTGTGGCTGGCATGGCTAAGCTGGTGCTTCATCACGGTGAGCCTGCAGGGTGTCTCTTCTCCTTGAGGCCCACTCCGAGCTGTGCTGGGCTGTCCCACCTCCCCCAGGGAGGGACACCTGCCTCATGGCTGCACGCCCAGCAAGAGCTCAGCCTGCAAGAGCTGTTCTCAGCTCTGCCGTACGCCAGCACGGAGCCTCAGCTCTTCCAGCTGGCATCCCACCAGGGGCTCATCCTGAAACAACTCTGCTCTTCCTCCTGCTTTCCCTGCAGAGTCCAGTTCCTCTGCCTGCCTCCTGCACCTGAAGCCAGGACAGGGGAAGGATTCCCGAGGCTGTTGGTTTGCCACAGAACCTGTGAGCCCTTCCCGTGTCTGGCTGCTGAGCTGGCGTTAACACAGAGGCCAGATCAAGTCTTCTTGACACTGCTGCTTGCTTCTGCCTGGCTGCAAATACTTCTTGTGTCACTCTCAGTCTCAGTTCACAGCTTATGTAAATAGATAGGAACTTCTGCTTGTCTGTGCCTTAAAAGCACATTTCCCTCATGATCACAGGGTGAAGCTCAAACACATGATTTAGTTGCATTCTGGTTTTCCAGAAGCAAATAATAAATAAATAGTGATTTTAATAATAGTGATCACTGCTTAATAGTGATTTTAAACCAGCCACTTCTGAGGCCTGATTCAGAATTGTAATTGGTCCTGCACGAAAATTCTTGGAACGGCAAAAAAAATAGGCGTTCTTAATATAGTGTTTCCACCTCAACAGAGATCAATCCGGCAGGAAATTCTCTGGTCACCCATACACACGTTGGCTGCACCAGTACAGCTGATGTGTGCATCAGCAATGCTTTCCTCCTTGGCTAGTCAGACCTATTCCCTGCTACAGTGAGTTGTGCCAGATCTGATTTTTTAACCAATCCAGAGACCTGGAGGTGCTAGAAGTTACTATTTACAACATTTCTGCAGGGTTCAATTATTATCTTTCCAATAAGAGGAAAGAGGGAGGGGGAGAAAGGGAAAGAAAGGGAAGGAGATGGAGAAAACAGGTGTAATTTCAATATTACAGCAGACTGGCAAAATACCAGTCCCTGCAAAGCACACAGACTGTCAGGAACAAATCCAGGAACAGAGCACAAGCCAATCTCGCTCCCCATGCACACAGTCCCTTGTGCACAAAAGTACCTTGAGAAAACTGTATTTCTAGTTATTCTGATTAGGAAATCTGATAGCTTGTGGCATGAACTTCTCCCAAACAAAGGCTGCAATAGGTGACAGGGGAAAGCAAACAGGCCTGTACCTTTCCTAGGAGCTGCTTGCAGGCCTGTCGCACTAAGTGGCACGGGTAAAACGAGCTGTACAACCTCTGTACCCTCTTTATCACAACGCCCTACACTATCCTTTCCTGTTAGCACTTGGCAGCAACAACAAAGAAATTGGGCCAAAGACAAATGCTGAGTTCTACAGTGTTGCTGATGCCTGAAACAAGTCTCCCGAGCCTCCCTTCATGCTTTCTCCTTCCTCAAATCCACCGCGTGTACTTGAGGTGCTGCCCACTGGCTTTTGTCCATTATCTGCCCAAGCCACCTGCCTGCTCTCTACTGACTGCATGTCCTCGTTCTCAAAAGGACTTGATGGACCGTGATAGAGGGGGCTGGAAAGCTCCTGTCCTGGGAACTGAAATGCACCTGGATCAGTTGTTTCCAACATTTCTCAATACCTGCATCCTTAACATTTTTCCAGTGCTCATGTGAGCCCTGTCTAGAAATGCCATTTGCTCAGACACTGCATAGTAAATACAGACTCGCTTTCCTTAATCACCTCCCACAGGCCAGCTGTCCTCAGGCAGCCTCATTTGTTGTCTTTGTAAAAGAGGCATCAGTGATCCCCAAAGCATGACTTCAGCTCAGATCACCATTTGTGGGTTTCTCACAGACTTTCCCCCTGGTACTGAGAGCTGAAAGAAGATCCCCTGACATAAAAGCAGAATACCCAAGTGTGCCATTTAAAATCCAGGAATCAAAACATTTCCACTCTTCCCTGGATGGAGAATGACAATGATTCAGGTTAATGTGAAAAGCTGAATTTATACAAATATTTTGGTATAGTTGAGTTTTCCTGCCTGTGGAAAATTAACCTTCTTATCCAATAGAGTGTGTTTTGGGTCACGGCAGTGAGCAGATGCATATAATCTCCCACACGTGGAGAATTTCCATAACATCAGAATTAGCAAGAAGTAAAAAGGGAAAAAAACCCTGAATGGAAACAAATGGAAGACTGACATGGCTGTGTTCCACAAAGTACCTTCTGCAGCTGCATCACTGCTCTGGAACAAAGGGGAATATAATTATTGTTGTTTTACTTTCAATTCCCATTAGCAAGCAAAAGCAAGTAAAAGTGGTTATTTCTGCAGGGGAGAGCTGGCAGAGGTGAGTGTATGAGGTCACACAGGGAAATCACGAGGAGACTTTCTTAAGTCCGAGTAGCTCATGCACCCAAAGAAAAATCTATCAGTAAAACTCACCATTCACACTCTGTTCCTGCAGGGCTGAGTCAGGCTTCTCAGATGCCCTGAGGATAAGGCTCAGCCACACCTGCTGGGGTAGGGCAGGACTTGGCTGCTCTTACTGTGAGGCAAGCCAGAAGTGTGAACTGCTTTCGGGAACACAGCTACTTTTGTCATGCTGGCCTCCATTCCCAGGGTGCTTCCTGCTTCCAGGGAAAGCAAGGCCTGCCATAGTCCCTTCCTGTAGCCAAAGGTTTCTAGGTTCACTTGTGGGGCTCAGATGATTTGCCATACAGGCAGATACTCAACCAACACTACTTGCCTCAGTTTGTTGTTTCCTCCTTATTTATGACAGCAAGAAATGAAGCTCCTCATTCTGTCTCCCTTCTTTCTTTGATTTTTTGAGTTAGTTCTTAGGCCAGAGACTTGCACCACTTATTTGCTTGCAAAACTCATCACTGTGGATAGAGAAAAATAAATTAACAATAATTGAGGAGGAGAGATAAAACAACATCCGAGCTGCAGGATGGATGCCACCAATCTGTGTATAGTGGAAAAGAGTCAGTCAGTGGAAAGGTGCAGCACCCATCTACTATAATTCAACTCATCTTTTTCAGTTCTGCTGGATAGGACAGTAGCTCTGGGCCGGAAAAGCTTCTGCTTGTAAGAATGCCAGGATATTGTCTCTTCGTGGGGAGGGGAAAGTGCAACAATTGGCGTGGGAAGGGTAAGGGGTTGCTCTTTCAATTCCTGTCCCAGCTGCAGAGCTTGTTCCTTGCTGTGTTCCTCCACATACCTGGTTGCCATCAATCCTGTGCTCTCTCCAAGTGCCAACCAAAACAGAAGGAGAAAAGCATTTAGTTTAATACCTCTTTCTCCTGTTTTCTTTTTCTCTTTTTCTGCATTTACACTTAGCAAGCAGACAAAGTGTGACAAGAGGTCATGCAAGGCCTGCTGCTCTGAAATGTCTGCAAAACTGTGTTCAGCTCCAGCACAAGCACCTGACCTGGCTGGCCAGTGGGAAAGGGGGCAGAAGGGAGCAGAGGCACTGCACAACCCCAGCAAGAGCATGCCCCAGATTCCCAGTGCACAGCACCACCTGGGAACAAGGAGGGTGGAACCTGGTCATGCCAAAGGTGTCTGCAAGTCCTATTCAGCCCTTAGTAATCAAGGAATTCCTTACCCTTCAAGCAACCAACCCATATAGCTGCAAGGGGGGGTTTCCTCTTCCTCTCATTCCTGGAGCATGTTAGTACTCGTGGCCAGTAACAATATGAACCAGCAAGAAAAGACCATGCTTTTTGTCATTAATATGATCTTTAATAAATGGAATAATGCACCATTTTTACAGCAAGCCTTTTCTCTCAGGCCTAAAGAATAGCCTTTTAAATGTTCTTATCCAATGTCTCTGTATCAATACAATCTCTTTATTTAGGTTTATATATAACAAAGCAATTCTTACAAGTATTCATAGAAAACTCTGTAGTGGCTTTAACAATGTCAGCTTTCATAGTGGCATCCACAGATGATTAAAAACCAAAAATTAGCTTTTTATTTCATACTCACACTGTTCCATGAAACACAACTTATACAGCATAGCAAGGGTATTGCGCAGCTTATACAAAAGAAATAACTGAAAGCAATTATTTATAAATTCATACATGATATTTCCTCAGCCGTTTGAGAGGAAAACCAAAAATACCCGTTAACAAAAGGGTTCTGATGAGACTCCATATTCTAGGATTTCTCCCCCTCTTCCCCCAGAAAAGCTCGCTCAGAAAGTAGTGCTCTCTTTACAGTCTTTCATAAGGAAAATGGCAGTTTCGCATCTTCTTACTTCAGCCTTACAGAAGACCAAACCCTAGAAATTCATTCTTGCCATGTTTACTTTCCTCTTATACTGCATTTGGGGGGGAAAATAATCAACAGCGATTGTAAAACGTTATTCCAGCTTATATAAATGTGACTAGAGCACGCTTTCCTCTAGAGACAAAAAGCAGACAGAAACATATACATACAAACCGTTTTAAATACGTTTCAACAGTGTGAAAGAGAGAGAAGAGTCACCAGTTAGGAAATTCAAAAGTGACAAATGAGTCAGCTGTAACTTGGACTTGCCTGTTTGTTCTTGTGACTTCTTACAAACTACAAAGACCAGAAACAGTAACTATTTTCTGAATAAACAAGACTGAAGTGTGAAACTTCATTATACAGTTCTGAAGCACAAAAAAGAAAGTGAATCAAGTGCTCTAGAAATAAACCTCACACGTTTGCTGTCTTAAAAACAAGTGAATGGGCTACAAAAGTGGAGGTTTGGGAGACCTTGGAACTAGAAAGTTACAAAGGCTAATTATTTCTGCTTTAAAATAGTTACCAGGCAAGATGCTGTGCCCCGATGGACACCCTCCAGTGATACATCTACAGAAGCCTGTAAGGACTGGGAAGAAATCCTTCCTTCCTGTGCTGTGGAAGCATGGTGTATGCATTGAAGTTAACCAACTGGATGACTTGCAAATTCATACAATTGCTGATGAAAACAGCAAGAGGCTTTGAAAAATAGCTGATGATTACACTATGAATTAGCATAACTCCAACTAGTTCCTGCTTATTATGCACACATGTATATTAAACCACAGTGAAATGAACAGAAATGGCCATAAGAAGTAACTTGTATTAATAATGCACTTCCAACACAGACCTGCATGGAGCCCAGATCAACATTAAAGGGCCATGGTGTAAATAAGGATTTATCTTGAACCCTTCCACTCCCCCAATGCAGTTCTACTTCTTGGCAAAGCCACAGCTGCCCTGTGCTGACCCAGCTCCACAGCCTGAATCCCCCATCAGCAACATCCAGCAAGGCTCAGGAGCCAGGGCTGCCCTGCAGTCCCACATTCCACATCAGCTTTCCTAGGGCTAATCCTCCCCAGAAGCGTTTAACAGCACAGCCAGCAGAACCCAGCCCTCCTTTGCCCACAACCAAAGGCAGCCTCCTGCTGGATTCCAAGAGCACTGGGCTCAGCCACGAGCCTTTGAGGTGCCCATTCCCTCAGAAACACAGGTGCTGAACATAACAGCCATTTGGATTTGCAGGAGCACAAATCTGTTCTTGCAGAAATGGAAGTTCTGCCTCCAATTTTACTCGGTACAGAAGAAACCCCAAATGAGAAATCTGATTTGTTACTCTTTCGTGTCAAAACTGAACCTACTCGGGGAATGGGTGAGATGAAAAAGGGATGTATTTCTATAGCTACAGTTTCATTTGACAATATAGAAGCCTAAAATGTAATTGGATTTAATGGACTAAAATACTATGTTTAAATGGCAACCACACATATAACTATAGCTACTACATAAAAAAGCCTTGTAAAAATTATCATGTTTTAAGTGTTTTGGGTTATTTTTTGATCTTTGAGAGAGGTATCTTAAATTACTCAGCTTCAAATAAAGCTTGTCAAGTGCATTCCCAAGTTTCTCTCTCTCATAAATCCACTCCACCCAAACAATCAGTGACAAGTCTGTCACGGGAGATCTTGAACTACTGGACTGTGTCACAGCCTGATCCCAGCTTTACTGTGATGCACTACAGACAATTTTAAAATGGCATATGAAAAAAAACCCCCACATTACACTTTCTACCAGTGCTACCATCTGATGCTGTAACTCACAGAATTTAATCCTGGAACTTACACACAACATACATATGCATCTAAATACACACAGAGTTTACATAAAAATATATATATATATATCTGGCTTCACTGCAATATGTATAGTTTTTTCACTGAAGAAAGGCTTGAGGTTGAAGAAAAATTAGTAAGCATGTTTTAGAAATAAGGTTAATATAGTTACCTGTTAAAATGGGTACTGGGAGACCAGACAGAAAAGTTCAAATAATCCAAATTTATGCAAAATATTAAGTTGTCCAGTCTATGATCTTTCAAAGACTGATCAATCCAATTTCAATTTACTTTGATGAGCTGCTACAAATCTTCTAATTAGACATCAGGTCATTTATATGCTACTGTGCTTGGCAATTATTATTTTTATGGCTTAAACCCAGCCTATTTCAGCAATGGGACCAGCCATCATTTTTATACAAGCAAAAATTACAGCATAATTAATTTCTAATGTATAGACTAAATATGTCAATTTAAAAATCCTCCCTAATTAGGCAAGAAATGTCCACAGTAACATTTCAATGGCAGAATGGTTATGAACTTTTGTATTTTTCTTTAAAGAAAATTCTAATCTGAACATCGACACAGTAATGTTATATTAGTGGATATTTTTTAACATTTAAAAATGGAATATCATTAGAGCAAAATGCATGGAACACTGGAACTAGGGCATATACAATGTATACATATATATTTTTAAGTAAGTATTCCTTACTGTTAAGTTTGGGGCCAATAATTTACTCCATACAATTAAAGAACTTCCTTATTCTCCTCTCTGAGGCAGGTAGGATTCCAGATTTCTTTTAGAGAAAGCTGATAGGTAGGAGGATGTGAACTTTCTGAAGATATTTATGAGATGGGAGTTTTTTGTTGCTTGTTTCCTGAAAACAGCATCTACCTTGCATTGTTTTGTGCCCAGTGCACTGAAAAAAACCAAAACATGTTGCCTTTGAAAATTAGGTAATTTTCTATATGAAAACTAGAGACAAACTAATGGCACTAGGAAAGCAAAAAAAGAACAGAAACGTTGTTTCTGAAAATATTCTAATTATGACACTATCAGAAGGTTTTCTTTTAAATTAGCTGTGCAGCATAAGTGCATCTTGGAGTTTCAAGAAAGGCCTTGGTAATACTAACTGGCTAGCATATCAAGCTGTAAAGCATTATAAGCAAATTCAGGGAAGAGTTGCAGATAATCTGACCTGTAAATTCAAATTTTAGAAGACTATGAGGCTTGTCTGTTCAAAGGGTTAGAATTCACAGTCAAAAAACCATGTTATGTTGGTATCTCTATTTCAGGAAACAGAATGAGAGACAATGCATTAACCTAAACAACTCTCCTGCCTTCTACTGGTAAGCCATTTTCTATACCCAGCAAGATGTTGGATTTTGTCTCAGACAAACAGCAAAACTGTTTGCTCTATCATTTTACTTGAATTCTCCATTATAAATTAGCATAACAAATATTCTACTATTGCCTACTTGGCAGTGGCACAATTAATAGGTATTTACACTACCATTCTATTTTAATTTTGCTATATTTATCTTGTCTGCAATATACATGAGAAATTGATAGGAAATTATCAACTTCCATAATTTTCCTTTTTTTGAAAATCAAATAAGCAAAATCATAACTCACAAGGAAATAAATCACATTTGTTTTCCTTGTTTATTGTACAATATCAAATATCCCTGTGTTTGAGTTGTAGAATTCTTTCTCTTACATGTATTTTGTTTGGTTAAGGACAATTCCCTGCAGCATGAAAATTCAATATAATTTAACTTACAGAGATAGTATTTGATGGACACTGGATTATGTGCTGTGAGGAAAAAAACGGCATTACTAAATTAAACATTAAAACAAACTGCTAATCTGACTTCATCTAGCTGTGCAGAATTACAGTACCTACTAGTACTTTGGTACCTACTTTAGAGTTTGCTTTGACTGACCTTTAAAAAAGAATAGATTTCATCTGTTTAATCTATAGGGTATTTCCCGATAAAGTACATTTTTCTATCATATAACAAATTATAATTATCCATGGTAGATTGCACAGCCAACCTTGCTACTAATTATAATTCATTACAAGGCCCTCCAGCAAGTAACAGAAATAGACAAAGCGAAGAAAAAAAGTATTGCTTAAGAATGTTGAAGGAAAACTGCAGAACAACATCTTCATCTGGTATTAAAGTAATTTTGATTGCATTGATCACAAAAAAGTTGGATTTCTTACAAAGGCATGGCCTGCAAAGAAAGGCTAAAAGACTGGTGCAATTCTGTCTCAGCAGAAAGAAGCAGCAGTCAGAGAAGTAATTTTTCTCTCCCCAGAGTAGACTGACTTAGTAGGAGTCCTAAATATTGTTTTCAGCCCACATTCTGAAATGCTGATGGATGATACATGCAAGGCAAAGAAAAGTAATTGGGATAGAGTGAAGAACAAAATCCTCAACACCATGACCAGTGCTCACCAAAAACCACCAGCACACACTCCAAAGGGAGCCTCACGGGAGGCCAGAGCAGAAGAGAGCCCAGTGAGCAACATGAATAGAATGCCAGAAACTCTGATTCGGGTCTTGAAACCCAGCTGAGCAACTGGCAGGTTTTCAACATCTGGGACGTGAGACTGCAGCAGATGGGAAGCCAGAGAGTGAATTAAAAGTCAAACCAGAAGAAGGCTGTGCTTTTAAAAAGGGGTGATATAACTGTATTATACAGGGGGAAAGCATAATTATGCCTCAGATACAAGAGGTACTATTTGAACTGGTGCTTAAAGAACATAGGGAGCTCAAAATGTGCCTTGTGGCTTGTACTTCTACAACTACACTTAATCAAAGTCTGCATTTATAGTGCTATCTCTTGGACATATCTAGGAGAATCTAAGAAATGTTAAGAAGCGTCACAAGAGAAAATCATAGCAATCAAGAACAAGCAAGGAATTTTGGGGAACAGCAAGAATCAGATGTAAGCAAGGCATGTCTTAAATTAGCTGTATCAACAGACAGAGAAGAACGGGGTTGGCAAAGTTTACCTCAGGGGGAAAAAATTGTAAAACGAAGACAAGGAAACAAATGAGCTTAAAAGCAGAGAGCATCTGCTTCAGTCAGCTGAAAGGAGACAGGCTGGGGGAGGCAATTGTTTGCTGCCAGTATCCTGCCACAGGAGTCTGGCAGGCTGACTGAATTGATTTTCTTTCTTTGAACATCACCAGTTTTCAGATGAAGTGATAAATCTTAGCTTGTTACTAAAGATTGATGTGTTACACCTTTTTATATCCAAATAATTTTTACTGAAGTGTTTTCAATTGGAAAGAATGCTTCTCAGGTGGAAGGCTATTTCTTAGGTGGAAGGAGGTTCTAACTAATAAGAAAATTATTTTCTTTCAGTAGACAGTAAAACTAATGATTCCAAAAAAAGGAAGGGTTTACTTGAGATAGTGAATAAACGATTTATCTCAATACATATTACATTCACATTCACTGACAGCTAAAATCAATGTGCATACAAACTGAAAGAAGGGACTAAGCAGAAGGGAAGAAAAATCCCCAACCCTCCCCCACAAACACCCATGATTTTTAAAAGCATGCAATAAACTTTAACAAGATGAATGAGGGTCTCTAAGAACTCTGAAGGGAGGACAAGTTTCAACTCAACTTGGCAACAACGATCAATTAGGATGCACCTACCTGCATAAGTAATCAGGCTCATTTTTACCCCATACTGTCTGTAAGGAGGTAAATCAGAAAAGACTTGTGACTCATCACAAAATTGTTTTGTGCCAAGTAAGATCGATGGGTTTTTTCTCTGTGTAAACGTTCACAACCTATCTTCACTCAAGCTTTTAAGTATGACAATTATTAATATTTCTGAATAAAATGTATTTTTCAATGTACATCATTAGTGATCTAAATAAGGTTTTACATAAATACAGGGGGTGAAACTGCACACAAAATAAAATGGAAAAAATGTCTGACACTGTCTCCTTACATTTGTTCAACATTTTGTTACTCAACTTCACAGGCTGGCATCTACTACTATAAAGGAAAGACATTTTGATTAGGGAGGATCAAAAGAAAGGTACGGAGCTCAGATTCTTTTTTTTTTTTTGTTCCTTTTTTAAAGCCCTTTCAAGTTGGGGAAAATTCATGCACTGTCACCTCTGAGCACAATGTGATATTGGCAGCTGCTTCAAGCTGGCTACGATGTGCAAAGTTCACTGTCATGACCGGCTGACTGCTCAACTGTCAAGGAAAAATTAACAAATACAAAAATGGGAACATGTGGCAGTTTTAGAAACACACTTTTCAATAAAGCCTACTGTGAACTATAGACTATTGCACATTTCAACATGACACAAGGAAAATAAGGGGTTCAAAAGAGAATACACTTTGTAACATAGAAATATACAGACTAGCTTGTGCACAGAAATCAAAACATGGTTACAAGACACCACTGCAGTCAAACCTGTCTTATAGTCTGCTTATGTTCTTAGTGACCTTAAGAAACTGGTCCAAACTGATTATCAGCAATACTTTTTTTTGTTACTTTTTTTTAAAAAAATATTTTGAGACCACATCTTTGATACACATATATATATTCCGTGGTCAAAACAGACAGACTTAACTTTAGCGATACTAAATAAAAGTGCAAAAACATTCAAAAAATAAAACAAAATAAAAAAATATGGAAGCATAAGCTAAAAATTTTCTGCATAGCTGAAATCTATTTAAAGCGAGTCCTTGGTAGGGGTTGCTGACAGGAGGAGAAAGCAGTTTTTTAAAATGTCTTCTGCGTGTTTGTTTCAAATAATGCAAAACAAAGGTCGGCTTTTGAAGCATTTCACAGGCAGTTCACCCCTGCGTCCTTAGAGACCATGGTGGTGGCAGTGCCCCCCTCTGCAAGGTACACAGCAGTGCTGGATTTGGGGGGCACTGCCTGCTCACTGCCGTTGTTGTTGACCTCGCAGTGCAGCGGCTCCGTGGAGATGACCCACGTGGACGGACGCCACCGCTTGAGCGAGTACGGAGTTTTCACACGTTTCTTGATCTTCTCTCCTGAGCCTGATTTGCCATCCTGTGAGGAGTCACCTACTGAAGGGAAAAAAACCAAACCAAACAAGAAAACAGAACAGAAAATCGTATTATGAGGAAGGTAAGATTAAACTGGAGTCCAGGGTTGTTACTTACGTGAAACAGAAAAAAAGAACCAAATCTATAAACACAGAAGCAATTGTGTGGCAGAGGCATGACAGGTGTACCAACTACAACAGCTGCCACTAAAACAAGGGGTTAGATTCTGTTCTCTGTCAGAAATTACTTCAGTGAAGTAATTTGTGTTACCTGGAATGCATATTGGCATCAAACTGGAGAATCAGCATTTGACATTTGAGGGGCTTTTGCAATCAAAGTATCTTATATTACCTGTAATGGGAGGTACAAAAGAACATTGCCACTGCAGGACAGCAAAGGCAATGTTAGGTCCCCTAATCCTACTCCAGCTGGCAAAGCATTTCACCTGAAAACCAAACAGTCCATTCTCTGTTAAGACATTAAGTCAGGATTTGGAATGCTGCGTTGTAAAACTGGCAAAACCAACTCTAACTATGATATAACTTCAGCAGTCAAAATGTGATTGTTAAAAAAACTTTACACAACCCCTTATTTTAACTTAACCTTCAATTAAAGAAAGTCACTGAAATAATACTTTTTCTTCATCTTGATAAGATTTCAACTCACATCAACAAGTTAAGACAAAAATTAAGGTTTCTTACTTAAAAGAAAGGCTTAAACATTCCATTGCTGAATATTCAACGGCATTTCTTGAAAGATATGTTCTTGTTTGGTTTTAAACCTTTTTTTCCAAAGATGCCTGGCATCCCAGTTTACTCCACTACTATCACAGCATCTTCCTAATAACAGTCATGAGATTTGCAAGCACCTGCCAAGACTACAATGACTTCTGGAAATACATTTTGTTTAAAATGCACACCAGGAGGTCATTCCAATAGCTCAAACAGGCTCACATCCAGAGGATGTACCTAATTGAACTATAATTACGTGATTACATTCTTACTGTAAAAAGGAGAGCCCCACTGTAACCTCTTAGACCTCTGGCCATAAAACTCTCAAGGAAGTTATTCTGAAATAAACTATTAAAATCAATTCCTTCTCTAATTACTTGGATTAATTTTTATGTACATGGCAAACTGATGAAGAATTGCTCTAATTGTTGGAGCTAGGACAGCAAAATAGAAAATGTCTGACCCTCCATTTAGGCTGGGCTAATACAGTAAAATCAGTTGCTTTAAAATCATGAAGCATATAAGTAGTTACTATAATAAATCATTTTTATCAATGCACCTTAATAGACAGCTACTCTTGAAAGAATGAGGAAAAGTAAGGAAAAAAAGGTGTAAGGTGCCCCTGCAGAAAAAAAAGGACACTTTTTCAATATGCTTTGCAGCTATCAAATGTAGGAGCCTTGCAAGGAATAATGAAAGTTAACCTAGAGACAGAGTGGATGGGTTAGAAAGAGACAGATTTATTCTGTGTATGTGGAAGGATGATAGTGATCTAATATACTGGAAACGATGGAGACAGGACTTTATCAAAAAGACTGAAATTGTGCTGAGGGAAATTACATTTATATGAGATTTAATAAGTATGCTTTGAGGAGAAACGGGAGACGGAAATAATTTCTATTGAAGCAGATATCTGCAGTTATTAGGTAGAAAGGTGTCAGGGAAACTGTTGAGCCCTGCAGGCACTTACACTGCATACTACTGCTATCCAAACTACTTGTGGCTGACAGATCCAGCGAGTTAGGCCTCTGTGCTCTTCTGGTCTGGGTCTGCCCAGGATTTCTCACTACATTCTGGATACTGGCTGCAGCTGTGTCTGCACACGGATTACTGTTGTTGTTGTTGGCGTTCGTTCGGCCGTTATCCAGGGGTCGCTCCCTCCTGTCCACCAGGCGCTCCAGAACACCTTCATCGTGGCCAACCTGCTGCTCCCGCCTCAGCAAGGGCTCGTGCTCGTCGGGACTGGAGTTGATATTCAGCCGGCTGTCCTCCCCACTGAACTGGTTTTGAAGCATTTCCTGGGCCCTCTGCGCTACCGAGCTGCTGGTCTGGCCGGAGGGCACCGTGCCGTTGGCATACTGGGCTGTGCCAGCGTGAGAGTTTATGCCGTGGCTCCTCCCGGCCACTCCATTCATGGTAACCGTCACCACGTGAGGCTCTGCGGCATTGATGGTGTTCATCTTGGCAACGCCCGTTTCCACCTGCTTCAAGTTTGATTTGTGCTTGCCACCAAATTTTAACCGTGGCTCCTTTGTTGAATTTTTGGTGTTTAGAGGGAGGCTAGTAGGCCTCTTCGGAAGGTTCTGTTGCTTGGGTAGAGGATAGACCTGAGCAGATGGGACATCCGGAATCAAACACGCCTGACCGTTGGTAGCTTGCGTGAAGTCCTGCTGCCCTGTCACCTCTACTGCAAGTTTTATCAGTGGATAAAGCAAGCTGGAACTAGTGCTGCTCAGTGGATCTGGCCCACTAAACTGCTTAAGTGAATGCTCCATCAGATTCTCATCAGAGCTTTCTTTCAGGTTCTTATCCACTTCTTTTGGATCCAATTTATTTGTCTCCAAGTCCTCCTCTGTTAGCTGCAGACAAACAGGGGTGGGCCCACCCGGCTGCATGACATTTGTAGTGTGTAAGTTTGTTTCATCCGAGTAAGGCATTTCGGATATGGTGGTCATGCCAGTGCTGGGAGTGAGGCCAGTTGTATGGGTGGTGGACAAACTGGTGACACTTGTCTCGGGACTAGGGATGCGAGCTTGTGCTTGTTGCCGCTCGTAGTTAATGGAATTTCTATTCTTTTCCCCTGAAGTCAATGGTGTAGTGGACATTGAATGTTCAGAAGAAATGTTCTTTACTATGCTGTCAGTGTGGTGGATTGAATCTTCAATGTAGGAAGAGGAAGAATAATCTGGATATGGCCTTATCTTTGATACACGTCTATGATGCGACAGATTCCTTTAAAAAAAAAAAGTGATATTAAGATCATAGATGTAAAAATCACCTCATATTGTAATGCCTCTCATTTAAGAGAGCTGAGTGTCTTTTGTTTCTTTTAATGCATAAACTGAAGACAGATACAGTACAAAAAGGTATTTCAGCAACTTCCTTGAAAAGTGCTGGGGATAAGAAAATTTGTTTTACTAGGGCAAAATTTCATGATGGATGTTATTAGTTAGGAGAACAGTAATATTCTATTTGTCCAATATGCTGTTTGTCCAGTTGGCAAAGTAGTGCTAAGGTTCTGCTCTAGATGCAGAGAAGTGATGCTGAAGAAGGTCAACAAAAACGCAACAGACTAAATCAAGAAAGTGATTCTGGAAAAATGTCACAAGGTCCTAACCCATGAAAACTCTACTATTTTGACAATTTAGGTATTTTATGATTTGAACATAATATTTTTTCATGACAATTAACAGTGTCATATGCAGCAACATTATCCTTCTCTCAAATCTGGATTTCTAGACTATACTATTAAGCACTAAAGTCAGTTCTGCAAATTCTCATTCCCTCTGGATCATATACAAGCAGAGAACATGCAGCACTTCTCTTGCTGGGGTCAGAATAACAATGGCCTTGTAGTTTGTTAACTGAAAGACTACAGGTTTGAGACTCAGCAATTTCCTGAACTCATACTGACTGCAAATTCACAGTTTTTAGCAGAACACTAAACAGAAGTTTGACGCATCATTTAGCAAGTGTAGTTAAAAGACAATTCACTTTGTCACTTCACATCATGGCGAGCCTGCTGAGACAGTTTGCCCAAACTCAGTTTAAAAGGCCCCTCTGTGAGAAATACAGTTGTATACCTAAAAGGTGCCTGAATTCTGAGGACACAAGAAGATCTTAAGAACACAAGCAACTGGGATTATGCCATGCAATACCCATATGCAGACCAGGTCATGTAACACACATCACTTCATGGGTGCAGCAAGCTGTAGCTTCTGTCCTGGAGTGAGCTGGGCACTGCATTGGGCATTTCCTGCTGACTAAACCCAAATGTGTTCTCTTCTTACCTCTCATTTTGCATGGCAGTTGACATAGGATTGACTGTTGGACTAACTGATTTATTTCTCTCCCAGATCATCATGAGCTCTGCCATTCTCTCCTCAGCACACTGTGCTGTTAGTCGAGCTTCAGCATCTTGATCCCAACAGTCTTCAATTGTTTCTTTGAGTGACCTCACAGCCTGCCAGGAAACAAAACCCCTTTTAGTTATTTTAACTTTATACTGTGCTCCTAATTTACTGTTTTATGGCAGCATTCTGGATGCCTAAAAACAGTCACAAGCTGGTGAAAGAGAGAAACAGAAGACACAATTTAATTCAAAGCTAATTTAACCTAATACTAGCAATGTGCAATTTAATATTATCACACCTCACGTATACACATCCACAGGAAGACACTTAGGAAAAGCTACATTCACCAATGTCCATACAACCTTCAGCCAGCCCTCTGATGGATGTGTGCTCTGCTCACTCTCCTTGCCTTATGAGAGCTGTGTACTAAGGATTGCTGATATTCTGGAAATGCTGCCACGGTTATTCTCACAGCTCTGCTCACGGTCACTGCCTTGATCCCCTGCACTGTATGCAAATGTCAGCCATGCTCACTTCATCATCCTTGTCTTCCTGGTTACCACAGTATCCAAATGTCTCCTAAGTATCAATGAATTTGTCTGCACCATGGGAAGAGATTTTTGTTGCACTTGTTTTACAGGTGGAGAAAGAGAAACACACACGTATTCCTGGCATCACGCTGTGGGATGAACTGTACAGTCAGGATTAGAGCTCAGGACCTCCAAAACATGCTGCCATATGTTCAGGGAACTGGAGAGGAAACAACTGAAATTACGAGCACTGAACACTTCTGTTTCCACTCTATCTGGAGCACAAAAGCCAGGCAGACATTTATGGGCCCCTGCTGCCAGCCTATGGCCACAGAGAGGATCTGGTTTGCCAGCACAGCTCACATCTACAGCCCAGCTTTAACCTCTCCAGCACTGAGGACTGTGCAGAATCCCAGCTGGGCACTAAGGCATTCAGGAAGTCCTGCTGACTGTCTCTGTGCCAGAGTTGCCTTGTGCCCTTCTGGCAGTGGAAGCCAGGACCAGCTCTGAGTAGGAGCCAAGAGCTCCTCGCCCAGGGAGTGGGCTCCTGGCACTGCTTGCATCTGGCAATCACTGCTGCTCGGTGACGCAGCTCTGGCTGCACAGGTGGGGACGAGCTCCCCCACAAGCAAACCTTCCATCTCCCTTCCCACAGAGATCACAGGGAATAAGCCAATACCGTCCCCTTAGCCGAGGGACATAAGTCTAAAAACACCCTCAGGGACAAGGACAAGACAGGGCACTGGATCAATTTTCTCTCCCACAATAAAATGCCTTCATTCTGCTTTTAGGACTTGATTTTGTCACCATTTAGACTAAGTCAGTGGATACCCTAATCTCCTGCCTTTCCTCTTTGCAAGACTCTCTCCACAGGTTTCATCAGCAGCAAATTCAACCAGTGTTTAATTTAATACTGTCTGTCCTTAGCAGATCCTTTCCTTTTGATGTGTTAAGGATCATTAAAGGACACAGTAGTGAGTGTACAGACAGTTATCAACACTGGAGTTCTTCAGCATCACATTTACCACAATTATGTGTTTTCTATTAATTTCAGGTTGAAAGACAACTATACTAAAATGAACTATTTACAAGTACTAGCACTCATCAAAAAGATAGAAGGGACTAGAAATCTGCATTATTCTATTATTCTGTTAATATCCTTCAGTGCTGACCTCTGAAGTCAGGCGTGGCCCCACTTTGGCAAGTGAGACAAGAATATAGTAACATCTCAACACAGTTTAAAGCCTTTTAATTATTTTATGTACATCCTGTGCTCAGGTTGTTGCTTTATACTACGAAAAACAATACTGCTAATCAAGATCTGTAACATAACATAGATGCTTCTAGAAGCAGATTAAGACTGCAGAGGTGATCACAAATGAGGATTCCACATCTTTTGGGTACCTTAATTATGTGATTAAAAAATAAAGCATTATTTTTTATTTGTATTTCTCAAATGAAAAGGATGAATGCATTTGTTTCATAAATGCTGTTATAACACAACATAACAGCAGAGCTTTAAATAATGGAAAAAAGTCTTTTATCCCATGCATTAGATACAGGAGGTCAGGATGTGGGTTCAGAGTGCAGCTATCTGGAGCTTAATTTTCTACACTATCTGCCCTAGAGTGCTCATTCAGATATTATCCTAGACTGGCATAGGATGGAGGAAGTTGTTTCACACCTGTGATTATTCTTCTTTTCTCTTAAAGCAATGGTGTAGATAAATTCTTAGAGCTGGAGTAATCACCATCATTTTGATTATGCAGAAAAAAGAATTAGTAACACCACAAAGAATGTGCTAGGCATTTTAAATATGGGGATCATCTAATAATGCTGGAGTCTATCAGCTTGCTAGATAGACCATAATTAACATCTAAAATGGCAGTCTGCAAAACAAAACAAACCTTGAACTGTTTCGCTTTTAACTGTCTTCAGAAACAGCTGTCAAGTTTGGTTCTTCCAATGCTGCATTTGCCAACATGGCTATAGTTAAAACAGCTGTTGTTTGATTTCTTATATACTTTGGGCACTGATTTCTCTTTTTTCCTCTTCCCCCTTTGCCCCCGAGACTGGGTGGCCAAAAGCGTGTAACAAAAGCACCTCTCTTGGAAGCTCTGAGCTCCGTTACAACATGTTTTACTGCAGTGCACCACTGAAAGCAGGTTCCTACATATTTACAGGTACCAGCACCAGGTGAGGCCTTGGGCTCCTCCTTGTCTGCACAGTAGCTACAAACTTATCAACCACCAAAGTCTCTGAAGATTGAAGGGCATCATTTCAATATGGGAAGAACAAGAAGTTTCTTTCTAAATAACACCCAAACTCGCCATTTTCAGACTTGCAATTAAGCTGCATTACCTTGTATCAGGTGGAACTCAGTCACTGTTTGCATTGCACTTTGCTTGTAATAAAAGACAAACAGCCCCCTCTAAGCCAAGGGGATTCACATTGCCTGAACTTTGCTGCAGATGAAAGCAAGCACGGACTCTCACCAGAGTTCAGCTGACTTGCTCTAACTTGTTGGGCCACAGCAGCAAGGTTCTAAGCCATAGCTACACTCACTCAAAACAACAAACAATATTATAATGTTTATAGTCTTGAAAAAGAAATTGCAGATAAATGAAGCCATATAAAATCTTTTATGTAGTTAAAATGAAATTATTTCTAGATGCTTTAGCCTCTGCAAATCCTGAGGTCTATACAAGTTCAAAAAAGTTTATTACAATGTTTACCAATTTTAGTTTTGGAAGAGTAAATTGATGTTTTTGCCAGCTATTTTAGTTGGTATCCTAGTTCAGTTTTATTAGTTTATAAGATGTCAAAAGGCCAAAAATGGCTTTGTGTTTCTCATTCAGCACACAGAGAACACATGGGCACTTCATGCACAATACTACAGACAGTGACTAAAGTTAATGTAACAGGTTATCTTTGGTACAGCACACTGCAGCATGCAACAACAACAACAATAATAGTATTTTTCCTTAAAAGAAATCTGGCTTTCATGTCAATAACTTTTAAAAACTGAATTCAGTATTTAAGAAGTCCAAGCAGAAACAGCTCTCAATCCTTAAATACTAACAAAGAGGAAAAAAACCCCAAAACCTAAAAAACTGCTTTTAAGAAATGAGTACACCCGAAAGCTGGTTAATTCACTGTTTCTTTGAAAATATTCTTTCTCACCAGGCTGTTCTCCTTCCATGCTTCAGGGAATTTTGGTCTTTGCTTCTCTCTAGACACCAAGACTTGCATATCTTCAAAAGTGGGATGGTTTCCGACTTCAGTCTGGAAAGCCATCTGGTACTCTGGCACAGATTCCCCTGTTAGCAAAAGAAAGAAATGGAAAAAAAAAAATCAATCACAGATTAAAAGGCAGAGCAAAGGCTTTCAGTTGATGAAAGGCATTATCAAAGTTGCTGTCTATCAAGATGTTCCCCACTTTCCCCAAAGTCTAACTTCCAAAAAAAGCTGAATTAACGGCAAATGAATTAAGTGCTGCTCAGCAACCTTTCAAAGGATAGCATCCTGAGACTTTGCTGTTTCAGTGGCACATTTGGAATGTCTTGGAGCCTGAAGACGACACCTACTTTCTGTGAAATGCCACTGACTGATCATGTTCATGTACTTCATTCGGGAGGAAGCCCAGCAAGGTTACAAGCCTCTGCACACAAAGTACAGCTGTTTGACTGTAGAGAGTATGCTGCATTTTACATTCATTCTGTATGCTGCAGCTTGGGCAGAAGATGGTGGATGTGGCACAATTTCACATGTAAATTTTAAGTCTACTTCCTTTTTGTTTATGTTACAGGTAGGGAGGATTTCCCTGAATTTTCAATGTCCTATCGTAAATAAAAGTACAACTAACTAAATGCTACATTAAGTCATAGCATTTTTTCATGGTGAAAAGTCTGAAAGACACTTTAAGCACTTTATCAGTTCTCAGAACTGGAAACACTGCCTTTGCCATCAGCCTGACTCTCAGTGTTTTTAACCTCTGGAGAAGAACAATAATAACAACAATGCTAACGCTCAAATGCTCCGAGCATGAGGCCTGCCAGCCGCCGGAACAGGCGGTGTGAGCCTTCGGGCAGGAGGCACAGCTCGCCCGGCTGCACCGTCCTGACGAGCACCGCCTCGAACACTAGATGGCACCGACTCAATGGCAGAAGCAACTGAGGAACTGCTTCCCTTCCCCACTTCCAAAAGCTCGGCTCAGGAGCAGCTTTGGTTGCTGGTGCCACCTCCTATTTTCTGCAGTTCTTTCCTTACCTGGGAAGAGGTCTGTGCATCTCATGAAGATCTCCCAGTAGATCAGGCCCAGCGCATACATATCTACTTGTTTCAAAGCAGATTCACAGTCCCTCAAGTTCACTGCTCCTTCAAGCACTTCAGGGGCCATATAGCGGATCGTACCGACCTGGGAAAACGTCCCGTCAAAGCTTCACGTCAGGAAGTCATTTCCAAATCCAATTAAGTATTTTATTGCCCTATTCTGCTTGGTATTCTCTACAGTTAAGGAAAACACAGCTTGTTCCTAATCAATGTCCTCAGTTTCTAGATTCTTACCAGTCTAGTCATAACAAAAACCTTCCCCTACTCTGTCACTAATTTGTATGTACCAAAAAAAAAAAAAAAAAAAAAAGATTTTGTCCCTTACTTAATGTTCTCAAATGAAATATGATATAGCTGAAGTGTTTCTTTTTCCAAGTTGCTCTGTTAAATGCCAAGGTGTGTATCATAATGGAAGACGATTCTGCTGAACAGGAAACTTATTCTCTATTTCTGGACTGTCAGCAAGGCTCCACCCTACAACTTCCATAGTCAAAGGTTATTAAGTCTTGGAAGATACCTATTCATTTTCACTAGCATCTGTTAGATAAGAGCACTTACTCATCAGTACTTCTAGGACAGTATTTTGTCAAAGGACTACTCCATATCTCTGCATTTTAACCAGCAGTTTCCCTGTTTCTTTGTTCAGTATGGGAAGGCCTAGATGGAGCTCTTCTGCACCAGGTATTTTCAATTTAGCACTTGCTTTCTAAGGGAAGGTGATTAGCACTGTGTAACATGTTTTTTGAATGACATATGAACTTCTTCTGTAAAAGCACAGATAACAACTACACTGAACTATTAGGCACTCTTTAAAAGGCACTCTTTAGGCACTATTTGAAACAATCTCACTGTATTTCAGTAGCCTGTATTAGATGTCAAGCAGGAGACGCAGAACGTGATATACCATCATTTCAGAAAAATTAACACTAAAACCAAAAATTAAAAACAAAAAAAGAAGAATGTTTGGTCTTCAGTTAGCATTTGCAGCACAAAACCAAAGGGACCTGTACCACACAATCACAGAGAACATGGCAACGAAACTTTTCTTGTGTCTTCTCATATCTCACACAGATACTTCAGTCTGCCAATCTATTGCCTGTCAAAATGGCAGGTTGGGGATGAGTATTTTGAGAAAAAAAAACAGTTTCTTCCCGTGGAGGCTTCAACCACTTCTCACCCATACTGCAGTCATTCCCCATTACAGAAATTGCACCACCTGAACATTCATCCAACCATTTGTACTCACCTCACTAATGGCTGCATTGTCTTCCTCACCAGGTCGTACCAGTCTGTTGCCAGTTAACTTCATGGAGAGCCCAAAATCACTGATGACACACGTTCCATCATTCTTCACCAGCACATTGCGGCTGTTCAAGTCACGATGGGATATTGCAGGTTTGTAATGGTCTATTTGGACACACAGAAGTGCCTGTTACTATTTGAGCAATCCTACTGTTTGGCAAAATGAGAGAACCTTGTTATGTCTGCTCAGCTATTATGAAAAGAGAATCAACTTATTTTTTAGAAAGCTAACATTTTTGCTTCTTTACAATGAGCTCCAGAGGAAGCTATCTAGAGAAAACTGACTGGCATCCAGAGTTTCACTGTATCTATACGATATATTAGGCTGCTGTCATATACAGTTCTAATGTTCACCAACAGTCTTCTTCCCAAGGGGTATTTCAGCACGACTTTGGCAGTGGAGACATTGTACATTTAAGCACAGACCTGCTGCCACAGCCCTAACAGCCATTCCAAACACTCTCTGTCACTTCCCCACTCCCGCGTCAAATGCAGCACCAATTATTTACAATTGGAATTAGCACTGGCGCTTATTCAGAAGGTATGCAGACAATATTATTCCACAGAGTCTGAACATGTTCATCTTGCAAGGGATCTGACCTTTTCCAAAGAATAATCTCAGCTGTTCCTAGTTTTTATTTATTTTGTTAGTAAAACAGCCAGCAGTACAGAGCTCGTTTTAGTGTAGAATTTATTCTGCTCCATGTGTTCCTTCCTAGCACTCACAGACTGTGGCTGTCTCTCCTTTATGACGGAAAGCTTACACATTTACTGACTGCTAATGGACATACCTGTCTGCACACCTCAAAATGATGAAGTTAAGATGATAGCTGCAGTTTCAATGGCACATAGGAATACTGATTTGGGTATTTTCAGCACTTTTTATTAGCAGCTTTAGTTGTCATTCTTTGCTAATGCTCATGCTTAACATTTGAGATATATAGTTTGAAATTTCATTCCAAACATTAGCACCTTAATGTAGATACAATGAAACCAGCCTTTTATTTACTGCCAAAAAACTAACATTTCAGTGCCAGGCCATATTCTGCAGCCTGATATATCACAGATCTCAGAATATCTACTTTATAATTATGATACTTCAGCTGCTGAAATACTGGGTGAAGCATGCACACAGAAATAGAAAGATTCCAATCAATACATTGTCACAGCCTCTAATAAAGTACCAGAAGTCCAGCAGTATTGTTTGTACACAGCACAGACTAGGCCCAAACTCTCAAACAAAAATCCCGAGACATAATAAATAAAATTACAGTGGGGTTAGAAAATTTAATTTGATAGCATACAGCTCACACACAAACTAAAAATTGCTTTGGTGATTTGTTTCTGAACTGCAAAAACAGACACAACACCTCATGTGTTTACCCTGTGCCAGAGAGGCAGCCAGCACTTCAGCTCTTCAGAAATCTGTTGCCATGATACAGCAGCCCTGCACAGCTCTGCCTCCTCCTGCCTCTCCCAGACTCAGCACTGTCACACAAGGGCCACAGAGCCCACAGCACGGCCTTGTTCCAAAGGAGGGAACACAGCAGAAGTTCTGAGCAATCTCTATTTGCATTCATCAATTCCTACTCACAGCAGGATAAAATAAAGGCTGGAATCTACTACCTGACAGAAATAAGAATATACTGAGATCTTTGCATCCCTTCCTGGCCTTACCTCCTCGAGGCAGCTCCGTGTGCAGGTACGCCAAGCCCCGAGTTATGGAGTGAGCCAAACGACAGGAGCTCACCCAGTCACTTGTATGGAGACTCAAATATTTGCACAAAGAACCCTGAAAAAAAAAAGACAAAAAAACCCCACCACTGATTAAAATCATTGTCCAGTAGAATAACTCAAAATCTTTTGGAGACTCAGTTTTATCCACTGCTTATAACCTGCAACTGCTTATGTGTTTACCTACATGTTTTACAACACAATATTTGACTGAAGTTTCATTCAATTCCAGTGCTGCCGTTTCTCTAAAGTGGAATAGGAATTTTATCACAGAATAATAGGGACTGCTTCTAGAAAGAAATTATATTAAAGTCTTGTTGTAGAACAGAATAAAGATAACGGCAGACATAACAGCCTGGGTTTCTAAAACGTGGGCTTCAGACCATTATCACTTACAGAATACTCAACATCTCTCACAGGTCTTGCTATAATCTATTTATGTGTCAAAACAAAAACAGCCCAAAGGCAATCCAAACAGGAGTGAGTCCACATGCACAGAAGAAACATGGAAAAAAATAATGGCACGTTCCCCTTTTCTTGAAAGTGAAGTTATATGTGTAAAATGGGGGATCTTCTAGTGATTTGTCATGAAATCTTTAAGAAAATCAGAAGGAAGTGTGTCCATTATGATACTGAGATATTCCAGAAACTGAGACTGCTATCCAAAACAAGAGTCAGACACTGAAAACTGTGACAACACCTTCGGTGCACAGTTCCCAGTGATAATATATTTAGTTTAAACAAACGAAATCCTCCAGCATAAAGAACAAGTAATCTGCCTAACTAATTCCTAACAGGAATTTCACATTTTTCCTTTTTTTTTTACAGTTTTTAAGAAATATAAGCCCTCTTATTAGCTTCCAAATGTCATCAGCTTGGCTTTTTTTCTTGGCTTAGTGGGTTGAGATTCCAACCCATTCTAATGGAGGCCACAGGACTATTGTCATGAGGTGACTGGGAAATATTTACTGTATTAAACCAACTTCAAGATCTTTCTGCTGCAGAGCCTGCCCACCACCAGATGTTTTTTAAGCTAGCTGAAGGCTGTGATTTTATGCTTTTAGTGAAGTTAAAATGATAATGAGGAAAAGTTTTAGTCAAGATTTAGAGAGAGATATATTTGTATTTAACACTATCTTGTCAGAGTCATGGGTTACACATTAAAGGGGGGATATTTGTTCTGACTATCACTTTTGATAAAAGTGATATTTTTAACAATCAGAGATTCTATTTGTGTTTTAGAACAATTTTTCTGTTGTTCTAAAAGGACAAGAGTGTCTGGCTACTGGGGTGATAATTCTGTGCTATTACGTATTTCCTACTACGCCATGCCTCCCAGCTGATCCCTTACTGACCTACTACACCTCCGAGTCCCATCAGAACAGCATGCTGATTGATAAATGCAAACACCATTCCTTTTACTTGTCTATTTCCTTCGGTCCGAAGGCACGTTTGGATAAAAACACAACCTGGGTCAAACCTAGCTGTCTTGCTTTCACCAGGGTAACACCAATAACAATTTTCTGTGTAAAAATGCCCTGGCTTGTGTGTTCTTATTTTCAGGAAGGAAAGTATTATGAGGGAGAATGATGTTTTGGATGGGGAATATTTCATCTGCACATCTTGTATTGGTTAGTCCTTATTGAAATCAGATTTATGGCTCCAGTTTGAACACTGGAATTCCCTTCTAGCAGGGCTGCCACAGCAGGCTTCTTTTTCTGCTGTTAACTCCACATACAACAGAACATCTGCTCACTAAAATACAGATCACACTGTGCATTAATTACACCTGCTGTGCACTTTTTCCAATGACTTCCAAACAACCAGTGGATTGATTCTAGACTAATCTTGCTGCTCTTAATACCACATTGGGAAGGAATCTGATAATATGAAGTCATAAGCTTCATCTGTACATTTAATCAGGTCATTAACACAGCCTGTTTACAAAAGCAACAAGACACAATTTTTAATCACATTACATTTCAACTGAAAATCCTTTCATTCAAGAAAACAGCAAAACCAGATCATCTGTGAAGACAGTTACGCTCTCTTAGGAGCAGAATACTCACTTGATTTTACTTAACTTTCATTTTATTCCATTAAAATATGTCAGTTTTGTCAGAATCAAATGCTTTGTCACTGTCCATCTGGTATGGGCACAACTGACCTTTTTCATGGTCACTTCCAGTTTCTGCAGTCTCAGATGCCTGTCTTACAAGCTGACATGATCAAGTGTGTTCTCACTTAAAAAGTTTCAGTTAAGCAACTCTTTTAATATTTGTGCTTTGCTGCCTTAAGTTTGTATATAGTGTATATGTGTGTAAATACATACCTATGTTTAAGGTATGTATTTGCACTGGTGCATTTAACTTGCAATACAAGCATATACACAGAGCCTAAAAAACCCTAAGACAAGCCATCATTACTGCTACATAGCACTGTTCTGCTCCTTTTTGCTATTCAAATAAGCAGCTGTTGTCCTACTGCCTCCATAAAGATCAGGCTTCAGCCATCCCCTTCACACCCTGCAGGAAATACAAGTTTGCTTACTTGAGACTAAAAAGCTTGTTAAAGAAAATTATTTAATTGAATAACTAAGGTCTTTTTGCATACACAGGCAAAAAAAAAACCCCCAAAGATAAATTGTGACACCATTTTTTGCATTTTCATATATATAACCCCCATGTACATTGTATGATTTTTCAGGAAAGCTATTCACATTCATACTGTGTATTTTTTAAATGTTTCTTTTTCTGTATATATGTGTACACACACAGAACACGAAGTACCCTAATCTATGAATTTGAGAAATACAAGCCTTCAGTTAGCTGAAGAGATTTGAAGATATGGTTCTGGAAAGTAAGGCTGCCTTCTTAAAACATGTCCTACATCATCAGTATAAGCCACAGAAAGCTTTAAAAAATATAACAGGATAAAAAAAGGCAGCATGATTTATAGTACCATAAACTAGTTTGACAACAATCTTGTATCTATTACATTTCACTGTAAAAAACCCCACTATTTACAGCTATTGAGTGAGGTCATAAGACAGAGATAATGTCTTAATATTAAGTTTTAAATTTATTAGATTATTTTTAAGTAAAAACAACTCTTCAAATTCCATCATTGAATAAGGACAGAATTGACTAAAAAAACCTTGTACCAAAACCAAGAGCAAATACTCCAGAGCTAGGAATTTGTAAGACTACATTTGGTAGCACTAACCAGGAAGTCTAAAAAGGTATTACAGTAACCCACAATAAGATCCATTAAAACTGTCATTGATATGGATTATTTTTACATTACTGTGCAAGAAGCACCACCAAATCCTAAAGTACATCCTTTTCACGTGGCTATTCTTAGGATTCTTAACCAACCCAACTGATTTCTTTGAAGCACTTACATTGGGGTAATATTCCATCACCAATAAATATTCCATCCGGCCGTCTGCAGTGAATCTCTCATCCCCCACAATGAAGCGGGCGATGTTCTCGTGTTCCATCAGTGGAATCCTGTAAATGTTCCTCTCATTGACAAAGTTCTGACGATTGGCAAAAGAAAATACTTTCACAGCAACTGGACGTTCGTCTAGGGAACCTTTGTACACTGCTCCATATCGCCCCCGGCCAATCAACTGCAAAAAATAGAAATGATTCGTTCACAAAGTAATAGGTGAAGACAAAGCATGAGTTTTCACTCTACAAGAATTGTATGCCAACTTTTATCCTGACTTATAGTATAAGAACAATGAAGATAGTGAGTATTTTGTAATCAAAACCAGAATTAGAATGGTTTCATAGAGGCTATTTTGGAGTTAGAAACCTCAGCACAAGCCAACACAGGCCTTACTAAATTGATTTATAGTCTGAATATCCAGTACATCTATCATAAATAATCTATTCAGTACTTTTATATACAGAATCAATAAAACACATGTGTTTTGTGCTGCTAATTCTCTTACAACTTTTGCCTACTAAAGATTTATAGCTTTTATGTGATCAACTTCATTGCACTCCAGAAATCACAGACTTTAAGGGAAACATTTTAGGTTTAGGACAGTCTATAAGCTGTACCTTTCAGATAGGTAGTAACAAAATATGCATTTGTGGTGCAAAATAGATGCCAAAAGAGGTGAACAGATTTTAACAGAAGGAAGTAATTAATTCCTGACTACCTGTGAATATTTATTCTAGCCCCCACTATGTCAGACAGTCTTCAAGAATGGCCTTTCTCATCTCCATAGCAACTGCAGAAGAAAGAAGCGATCTCTAAAGCAAAATGCAGGACTACTTTCAGGAAGAGTCCTAATTTCTAAAGCTCAAAAAATTCCAACTATGTAAGAATTCAAGCATCTATTTAAAATAATTTTCAGAAAGACCCATACATGAAACTGTAAGAATTTAATGAGCCTTTTTTTTTTTTTTTACTTTTTAAATACTTACAAATAGAGGAGGAAGAGAAAACAGGAGGGACAACAAAAGTAACGTTTCTAAAGATTATAAAATTCTCTTACAGGGAAGTTTTCAAAAATAAAGTATCATTTAATGGAGAAACTTTCTGTTTCTCAGTCCTTTTATATCACTGGGTTGCAAAGCAGCAGCAAATCAGTTCAAGGTATGAATGTGGATGTAATCTACCCACAGAGATGTCCAAAGGCAAGCACGGGTTAAAACATCTGTCCTACAACACCCTGTGATTGGAGGTAAGGGATCAGCTCCTTAGGATACAAGAAGCAGGACAGAAGACACCACAGCCCTTCTCCCTGCCAAGTTTCAGACTTGGAGAAAGTCAGTGCTTTCTCCAAGGCAGCATTATCAGTATAAGTGCTTTCATCTGGGGCTTGGCACACTTCTACAATGCACAGTGTTAGACTCTCCTGAACTGTGCCTCAAGTACTCGTTTGGTGTCAGAAGACACCCAAGGTTCTTTGCTGATCAGTGCTGCACCATTACAGCAACTCACACTGCATGTCTGCAGTCTGCATCTCTAGGTGGGGTTTCTACTGGGAAAAAGCAGAAAAGCACCATTCTGCATCTCAGTCGTTCTACTCATTTTTTTCCTGGCTAAAAGGTTTTAAAAATTCCATATGTTCCATCAAGCACACCAACTGGAAGCGTAACATTTTGCAGTTTTGTGATGATACATCTAACACCAAGCTGAGCAGAAAATTCTCGTTGGCCTCTAGTTGCTATGGAGCTAGATAGTGCCCCACACGGAAAAATGACTACACAGAAGTGCACCACTACTGAAATACACTGCCCTATCTGCAGTATATTCTATTTTCCAAGAGTGTTACTAAAGAATTTCAAATTCCTACAGTAGGAAGCTGTACTAAAAGCAAGCAGTGTCAAGCAAAACAGATGGATCTTTTGATGCAATGATGAAATATAGCACCTTCTAATTTTCCCCACTACCACTCAGTGTTTCTTTTTTTTATTTTCAAGGTAAAACATATTCTACTAACAAAATTAGACAAAATGCACCTGCAGTAACCCCTTTTTTTATTTTAATTTCTTCTTGAAACTGTGATTTAGAAGAAAATATTACAGGAGCACTGATACATTAATTTCTGTAACTATGCCTGGGATATGACCACAAGCATTACATTGAATACAAATGAAGATTAATAACTGAGTTGAATATTTACCTCTAACAACTTCAGATTATCCAGATCCAATGAGGGCTCTGATGCTGCTGCCTCCATCATGTTCATACTGTGCAAACCTTGTTTACGGTCTCCTGGGGAAGAGGGTGAGGAGGAAATCAGCCACTTTCCTTTCTGGACATGCTTCAAGTGAAAAAAAAATGCAACTTACCTGGGACCTGGCAGAATTACATATTGTAGGCAAGGATGAAATAAGTAAAAAGGAGTCCTGTGAAATCTTCTCAAAGTCAGCAAAATGAGCAGCGAAGGTGCTGATAAACTACAAACTACAGATACCTGCTACACAACTATGTTGATAATTCAAAGTCACCATAAAGCATGCCCACCATCTCATTTAAGCTGTGCTGAGCAGAGGATTTGCAGAAGAAAAATGGGTCCCAAAATGCCAGCTTAGAGAAATCATAACTCTCTCCAAACTGCTATGAATGGGATATCACCATAAAATGTCAGAGAGGAGCAGCATTATGTACAAGCATATAACAGGGATGGGGAGAACAGATGACCTAAGTATAACTTTGAGCAATAGCCAAATAAACAATGGAAAAAAACAAAGCCAAAAATATTGTCAATCCCTACCTGCAAGCATCCTGTATCCAAAGAACAGAGCAGCTATCAGAACAGCCAGTACAGACACAGATGCCAGGGCAATAACAATGGTCTCATCTCGATGAAAAGAATGAGAAGAATCTGAAAGCAAACAAGATGAGGACTCTTTAATTGTAAATTTGAAAGAATCAACACTATAAAACATGTAATTGTTACATGTTACATTGTTACAACAAGGAGAAGAAAAATGTACTCTGGATTGTCAAACATCCCACATCCTTTTCCCCTCAAAATCTAGGGATGGCAAAAGAGCTGATCAGCTCAAAACTAGCTGGGCACACACTCATCAGCAGCTTTTCCCAGGCTTCCCTTGCCCTGCAGCAAGAGGCACTGACAGCAGACAGTGATTCTTCTTTCCATCTGGCAAAGTTCAGCACAGCCATACAAGGCCAAGCTGATGCAGCCCTCATCTGTTATCTGTGCCTTAATCCAGTTTCCTGGTATGAATCAGGTTTGTCACCTTTACAAGGTTCTTTTGTTGTTTTTCCCAGGACAAAAATCTCATGAGTTTGCATGCTGGCCTACAAATATGATGAAAATTGAATGTTTCACATTCACTCAAATACCTAAAACATACATAAGTCCACTTAAGCAGATATTTCAAAATACCTTGGGGTTTTGATTTGTGTAAGTGCTCAGATAATTTTTGGCATAATTCTTACTTCTTACTACACAAAAAGACAAAAGTATCTCTACAAACTGAAGCAGGAAACCTGAAACAAAAATAAAAAACTAAACAAAATTAAATAAAACTAGTTTTATTGAGTCTTGTAAGAAATAATTTGACTTTTTGTCAAAATGAGTATCTTGCTTTTTCAGGTTTTCTTGGTTGTTTTTTTATTTTCCCAGAGAGGAAAAAAGATTTCCTGAAAACATTTGTTAGTGCCTTGAAATATTCCTCCATGTCAGAGTCCAGTCTTGCTTCTTGCAGGCATATAAAAATCCAGCCACTTTAATACAAAAAATTATTAGTGCAGATACTCCTCTGGTGTCAGAATGACTGGAATGTGGCGCTACAAGACCTCATTTACTTTGGCTTCAAAACCAAATTTGGGAACTATGTTTAAACATGTCTTACATACTGCAAAAAGTACTCCTTAAAAGACTGTAATGAGACCTAACTACGCTAAAACCACAAAATATAAAATGCACACAAGACTTAAACACTGAATAAACTTTTAGGTGAGACAGAAATACAATTTGTCCCAATCTATACTAGCTGAATAAACTGACAAATTCACTTTTCTTGAAGTGCATTTAGAAGAAATTCAACATGATTCACTACTTCATATTCCATATATGGACATACACAAGGAAACCATAGAAGAAGAAAAAGCAAATTTAAAGACAACAACTGTCCCTTTTACATAACCATAATGGTAAGGGGAAATAATGAAAAGCTGGTAAAATAGAATGCCAGAGAGAATTTCAGCTGTGACAGAAGTATGTGAAAATTCACCTCTCAAAACCAACACGCAGCTCATATCTGATACTCCCCTTATATAAAACAGAGCTTGGGATAAATCACAATACCATCAAATTTGAATTTGTTCTGTCAAAAGAAATACCATCACTACTGGTTTTGGTAAAATAACGTTTGCTATGAAAATAAGTTATTGCCATAGAACACTAATATGGAATAAGAGCTGTGACTTCCGTAATGAGGAGATTAAAAGATACACATTACAATTGTCATCTAAATTATGTATTCAAAACATAGACATACATATATATTGAAAGCCACAACATCATAAAGGAAACTGTTACATTATACAAAGCTATATGAAACATGACACAAGTGCAAGCAGTTGAGTAACTGCTGGCAGGGAAATGGTAGTTTTGATTTTCATATTTTTATGAATGGAATTTACATTTTATTGGGTTATCTTTTAAAATATATATTAAATGTGACGGGTTTTGCATTTATTCAAAACAGTGCCTAGCACATAGTAAGGAGTAGCAGAGACTGACCCTTTGGTTATAATCCCAGCTGTATTTTCCTTGACTGCACAACTAGAGCACAGCCATTTGCTACCTTCCCATTGCCAAATAACCAGCAATCATTTCTCCCACGGTTTGCCAAATGATATCTGATGCCTGAGTTTGATTGCTCTTCTTTAGTTTTCTGTATAATCAAAGGCTTAACAACATGCCTCTATCGGGAGGGCCCTCCTCTACCCTGGAATGGGATTTTGCTGTTCAAGGGCATCCTGAGCAACACGTTCTTCCACAGCTCTGGCTGCCTTGGCACACTCCCCTTAGAAGCCTGTGAATGTTGACATTCTGCAGGCTGAAGAGATACCAGAAAATCTCAAGATAGCACTTTGCTCCCATCAGCAGCTGAAAAACACATAGAGAAAAAGGATAGTTTCTCTCTCCTTCCTTGATGGACCATCCCCTCTGCAGCCTTTTTCTGTTTAGTGGGTAGCTGTGCAGCCACCAGGTAACCTCACAGACCTCCCTGACCTTCCAGAGGAAAGAATGTTTTAATTTTTTTTAAGCAGAGTTGTTTCATCAGAATTTTAGATTGGCATCTCTTGAACTAATTTTCAATTCCTACAAATATTTTAAAATAAAACTGTCAACATTCCAACAGCCAAATCAGTCCTACAGTGCAAGTTACTACTGTCAGGATGATGAGCAATATTAAGAAATTTAAGAATAAATAAAAATTTCTTAGTAAGGGTAAGTGAGCATCTCAATGGAGTAATAACATACAGCTCAAAACAGCATGAGTGAGTAAAATGCTGTGTGTGACAGCCAGTCTTTTCCCAGCAAGGACAACTTTACTATCTTTTGCTTGTAAATCTAGACTAAAAGGAAAGCACAAAAACCCCGCAATGACAAAAGGCCCAGACAGCTCCAATCCCTCTCTCCCCCTACAAAAGTGTTATTTCTATCAACCCTCTATCTGCTTTGTAAAACAATTACTTTGGATGTTGTCAGATTATCAATCTTTCTTAAATAGAACAAAAAGGACATGTCACTTATCAACCCAGTTTCAAAACCTTCCAAAACTTAACAGAACTCTTATTGCCTCACTGATTTTATTAATCCTTCTCTGGATATATTTCATCTTTAGTCTTTTACACCATACTCACCTTTAAATGCCTAGCTGAGAACCATTGAACTTGGTTTAAATGTGAACCAAGCCATATGCAGAGGTTCACATTTGCTCTTTTATACACTTCTAAGTAATTAATACAAGTTTTTTATATACATATGCAGAAGAGCCATATTTCTCTTGGTATTATTTGGAGATATGTTTTAACTAACTCACCAAAAGACACATCAGTGTAGGTCAATAAAAATAACCACTAACCTTTAAGCAAGGCACTTTTAAAATAAGGATGTAAAATGCACATGTATAGAAGTTTCTTTTCATGCTTTGTCCATGAACTTATGTTCTGGGTGAAAACAACTATGGCTCACTGTGATTAGGACATTTGTTATGAAAGCCATGATTTGATATTACATTTTTTCTGAACTAAGACTTGGTTGGCCTTCAGCTGTTGACAACCCCTCCCTCGAATCAGTGGACTCTGCTTTTCAAGTTTATTTGCAGGACCAGACACGTGCCCTACAGCTTCATTATTTCTTCGTCATGTACAAACTGACTTTAAACATGCCTAACAACCACTCAATCTCATTTGAATTTTTGTAATCATTACCAATATTTGGGTACATAGTGACAAAAAACCCCACTGTTTTCAAATCTCAGACTGGGAGTGCTGGTATCTCAGTATTATTCCCAAACCAATGTATTACATAAAAAAGGCAATATCATACAGAGCAGAATTAGCTGCAGACTCTAGAAAATCCAAGGATTAAGGAGTTGGCTGCTGAGCTAAATTCTGCCTACAGTTGTACACAGAAGATTTTGTCAGAGTTTTCTCCTATTTATTTTACTGTAACTGAGAGGAAGGCTAATGAAGTTGCTTGCTGAAGGTATTTGTAAGTGAGGCTTTTATTTCCAACTTCAACTTAGGCTCCCTGATCTACACCAAATGTGCCACAACAAAAAACTGAAACCAATAGTAAGTGCTGTAAGGCCCAAACAACCTTAAAAGCCAATTTCTTATCCCACTTGAATGGGAAGGGGAGCGCTGCTCACAGATCTACTGACTCTACAAGCAGCAGTGCAATGATTCCATGGAATCATCATGGGAAGACACCCAGCATGTACACACTTCTGTCTTGAAACATTTTGCCAGTAATTCTTATAGTCTACCAATTCCATCACAAAGAAATATCACAGCAGACAGTGTATTTTTTTTTTTAAAGTAAGAAAAAGAAACAAAGCACAACTTATTAAAACAGAAGGACAACCTCCTTCTGGCTGGGGAGCAGCTGGTAACCAACAAGCCACCGTTCCCAGAAGTGTCCTGACCTCATCATCAATAAAGGGCTTGTTTTCAGGTTCCAAAAACCCAAGTACAACAGCTCCTGTGTATGGAGAAGGTACACACAAATAAATGGGAATGTATTTCAGAGTGAACCATGAAGAGGAATGCTTCCAGTATTCAGTCAGAAGTGAGTCATCTGGCTGAACCCAGCCCTGCACTTGGGACACTCCCTGCAGGCACTTTTACCACATTAAGCATTTCTCTCCCTTTTCTCAGACATTACTGGCATAACAGTTTCCAAGCACTTATACAGCATCTTTGATGAATTGAGGTTTTTGGATTAAGCTTCCATACTGCTACACATGGAAGTTGTCAAACTGCTGCCTTCCTAACCTTCCCCAGGAATGCCATTCAATGGAGAATACTGCCAGTGCTAATGGCATTAGGAAGAACAATGTTTTTTCTTCAAAATAACTTTTCCACTAAATATAAGCTTGTAATATTAATTAATGCAAAAGTATTCCAATCTGCGCCTATGCTTGAAAAAACTTTCTATTTCTCTCTAATTTAACTTTCAAAAATTAAAGCCTCGTTTGTAGGCTTCCTGTTTCCAAAACTCAAAATTAGCATTTATCCTATGACCAAAGAATGTTCTGAGAAAGGAGAGAAAACTGAAACAAAGCCAGGTAACAAGAGCCAATGGCAAATGAGTCTGTAAACATACAGAACTCCTTC